CTTTGTCTTTCTTATTTTAAATTAATTTTCCCCATATTCTTAAGAATGGAAGTGGATGATATGAAAATGAATATCAAAGGATGTTGGTTTATTGTTGCTAGGCCTCGCATGTCCCAAATGCCAGGGTACATCCTCCTGGATAATTTCCTGTCATTTTCCAGGATACAGTTCTCTTAATCAACTAATTAAAATATGCTTTCCAATGCTGATCTTGTGCATGACTCATTACTGTCTTATTACTGTTTATCCCAAAAGTCATTAACCATTTTTTTGTCCCCAAAGGACATTTGGTAAGTTATATGTAGCAAAACACAGTAAGAGTATTACTCTTTTCCTGAGGAAAATGGCACTCTGTTAAATATCAGAAAAGTCTAACAAATAAATAACTCTAGAATATCTTTTACATTAATAGCTGCACAGAGTTATCAATATTTAATATTGCGATGACAGAGTATTTCAAGATTCATAATTTGTGCAATGTTGGGAAAAATATGAGGAAAATATTGTTAGGTGTTTTGAAAGGAACATCAAAGTCTTTTTGAGGGAATTTACAGCTTTTGGCAAGAGTACAAAAAAAGCCATTTCTCTATGTAGTATTGACACACTGCTTGCCTTTTGACATAAGAAACTTGAGCACATTATTTTGTATTAAATATTTAACTATAACCATCATTAATTCGAAGATAAGTAAGTGTACTCAATTTATTTTCATCCTATAATTCTGCCTCCATTTTACAGCATTGATAAATGTTTTCTAACGTATTTCTCTCTTCTCATATATATATACATATATATATGTATAATATGTATGTTTGTATATATATATTTCAATTGTTAAATCAATAAACTGACTAGACAACAGTGCTGATCTCCAGCAATTACCTGAAACATAATGTAGGGTTAATTTCTTGAATATTGACTCTGGTGACATAGTGTCTAAGGCATTTGACTGTTAACCAGAAGACTGGCAGTTCAAATGCACCTGTCACTCCTTGGAAGGAAGACTGGGCAATCTACTTCTGTAGAAATATCGCCTCAGAAACCCAAGGAGGGGTCTCTATGAGTCAGAACCAACTTGACGGCAGTGAATTTTTGAGTTTATGTATTTAGAAACACCTGATGCATATTTGTGATGGGGTGTGCAAGATAGGACTAAAATCCACATGTAAATTATTTGTGTACCTCCAATATATAAATTATATATATGAAATATTCTTGTTCTTTCATGGGAAAACTTTTTTTTTTTTTAAACGGAAGTTATGGTTTAGATGTTCCAATAATATCCAGATATAGTGTGAAGGATGATTGAAAAAACATTTGGGTATTATTTATATATTGTTTAATATATATATTGTTTAATAGAAATAAGTGACCAGAATATAATATTTGAATGACATGTCCTCTGATATTTCTAGATGAAACTGCACAATTAATACACTAATAAGAAAACTATTGTCTGTCTTCCCAGAAAGAACATTAAGAACTTTCACTGGACAATATAAGTTTCAGTTGATCGCCGGTTTCCATCATTAGTCAATTTTTGTGCCTTAACATGACTTAATAAGATTATAATGTTCTCTCAGGTTAGCTAAATAATGAAACACAAGAATTCATGTTCAATGAATACATTTCCCAAGTAATGAATTTAATAAATGGAAGTAGAATAAGCATGTAGCAAAGAATCAGAAGACATTATTCAGAAAAATGAGGCTGATGTCTCAAACAAAGGAGATACACTGTTAAGAGAGATAATACAATTGGGGAAAACAGTGCCTAAAGCATTTGACTGCTAGCCAGAAGCTTTGCAGGTCAAGTGCACCAGCCACTTTGTGGAAGGAAGACTGGGCAATGTACTTCCATAAAGATTTACCACCTGGGAAACCCAAAGAGAGTCACTATGAGTTGAAATATATTGGATGGCAGTGAGTTTGTTTTTTTGGTTTTGGTATACAGAAGGACTACCAAAGCAATGTGGTCTCATGTAGTTCATATGGAAATACAATCAGGACTTGGCCAAATATGTGTACGTATTTAGGCTTGTTACCAGAATAACTGATTCATTGTATTGTGTATTGGATTTTCAAGGAAGAGCTGTAAAAATAAATTATCAGAAATGAAAAATAGAACATCACTGACAGATTTAATCCTCCTGGGTCTGACAGATAATCCACAACTACAAGTTGTGATTTTCTTCTTTTTATTCCTCACATATGTACTGAGTGTTACTGGAAATCTAACCATCATTACTCTCACCCTGTTGGATTCCCACTTGAAGACTCCCATGTATTTCTTCCTCAGGAATTTCTCCTTCTTAGAAATTTCATTTACTTCTGTCTGTAATCCTAGATTTTTGGTCAGTATCATAACTGGGGACAAATCTATTTCCTATAATGCATGTGCAATTCAGTTATTCTTCTTTATCCTCCTTGGTTCAACTGAGTTTTTCCTCCTAGCTTCTATGTCTTATGATCGATACGTGGCTATCTGCAAACCTCTACATTATACAACCATCATGAGTAGCAAGGTCTGCTACCAACTTGTCATCAGCTCATGGGTAGCTGGTTTCTTGGTTATCTTTCCACCATTGATCATGGGCCTTGCGCTGGATTTCTGTGACTCCAACATCATTGACCACTTTACCTGTGACTCTGCTCCTTTGCTGCAAATCTCTTGCACAGACACAAGTACTCTAGAGCTCATGAGCTTTATTTTAGCTGTGTTTACTCTAATGTCTACTATGACACTAATAATTATCTCCTACACTTACATCCTTAGAACAATTCTGAGAATCCCCTCAGCACAACAAAGAAAAAAAGCCTTCTCAACCTGTTCCTCTCACATGATTGTTGTCTCCATCTCTTATGGAAGCTGCATCTTCATGTATGTGAAAACATCAGCAAAGGAAGGAGTTGCTTTAACCAAAGTGGTAGCTATGCTCAATACCTCTGTAGCTCCTATGCTGAACCCATTTATTTACACTCTAAGAAACCAGCAGGTGAAACAAGCACTTAAGAATATTATGAAAAGGACGCTTTTCTCAAAAACATTGATCTGAATGCAATTTATAACTGAATACCCACAAAGCAATTTTAACATGAGAACCAATAAATATTTCAATGTTTTATTTTTTTTCTGTCCTCTGACTTTTTTTCCAGAAATACAAGTGTTATTCTATGTTGGATTTAATGTTCTTACAAGTTCTCAGGATATGAATGTAAGCATAAAATCATTATGAAATGAACTGATGCATTTTGCTATGGTACAATTCAAAGATAGGACTAAAGTCACATTCTATAATAATGTATCTGGTTCAAGAAATATACACCATGACAATATTAATTGTTGCCCAATTTATCTGAATAGGAAAAAGCACTGAGGTTTTACTTATTATGTGTGTGTGTATAAATTTGTGTTTGTATGTGCATGGGGCAATCTACTTCCATAGTGATACTGCCTCGGAAACAAGGAGAGGTTGCTATGAGTCGTGTCCGACTCGATGGCACATAACAACAACAACAGCAATGTGCATATATTTTGCTGAAGAAAATTCAAAAGATTTGTAGCTATACATTGACAGGGACCTCCCATAACTTCGAACTGAATTTAGAAGAGAGAATGGAAAGAGGAATATCATTGTTGATGTTAGATGAATTTTGGCTGAAAGCAGAGAACACCAGAAAGAAGTTTTTCTGTGTTTCATTGACTAAAAATTTACATTATACTATGTGGATCATAACAAATTATTGAAAACATTTCCAAGAATAGAAATTCTAGCACACTTTATCACACATATGTGCAACTTGTACATCAACCATGAGGCAGTTATTGAAAGAAAACAAGGGGATACTGTGGTAGTTCAGTTTGTGTGTCAACTTGGTTGGGCCTGGTTGAATGGCTGGGCAGCTGGATATGGCATTCTGCATGATGAGACCTTAGAGATGTGGTCTGCTTCCTGTATATAAGGAGATGACTTGGGGAATGGTCTCTAGCTTATGGCATGCTTGAAACCCGCATGTAGCTGTGTCATTGTTCAGCAGCCTGCTATGCACTGCCAACCTTGGGACTTTCAATGGACTTGAATTAATGGCCTGCTGTGTGGTTTGGTAACATAGGCACTGTGCCTTTTTCTTGTTAACCTTGAGCTTGTCAGCCTCAGCAGCCAACAGCTGAGTGAAGAAAAGCCTCCAGCTTCAGTGGGCCAGGAACAAGAGGCTGAGCTGAAGCCCAAGGTTGAAGGGCTTTGACCTAGTCCATAGAGCTTGGTGCTTGAACTCAGACTTAAAGTCTCCAAACTGTAAGAGAATAAACTCCCCTTTGTTCAAATCATCTCTTTTGTGGTATATTCTTGTCAGAGTAGTACTAGGAGGCCAGAACAGATACTGCATGATAAAATCAAACCCAGAAATGTGTGTGTCAAGATTGTATCACTTGACCATACTTATTCCACCTCTTTGCTGAACAAATAATCCTAGAAATTAAACTATATGAAAAAGAATATGGCATCAGGATTAGAGAAAGACTCATTAACAATCTGCCTTGTGCAGATGACACAAACTTGTTTGCTGAAATGAAGAGGACTTAAGATCCATATAGTAGAAGATCAAAGACCACAGCCATCTGTATGGATTATACTCAGTTAAAGAAAACAGCAATCCTCAAAATTGGACGAATAAGTGACTATGTGATAAATGGAACAAATATTGAAATTGGCAAGGATATTATTTACTTGGATATACAATCAAAACTTACGGAAGCAACACTTAAGAAATCAAAAGGTATGCCTTGTGTTGGGTAAATCTGGTGCAAAAGACGTCATTAAAGTATCAAAATCAAAGATACCTCTTTGAAGACTAAGGTCCACCTGATCCAAACCATAGTATTTTCAATTGCTTCAGGTACATGTGAGAGCTAGACATTGAATAAGGAAGACTGAAGAAGAATTGATGCCTTTGAATTACAGTGTTAGCAAAGAATATTGACTGTATCATGGACTTCCAGAAGAACAAATC